TTAACATGTTAGATTCCCAAATGGGACAATACAATGACATCATATTATTAATACAATGATTAGCAAATGAATAGTTTCATCGTTACCTGGGGATCCCTTCGGAATTGTCCAGCTTCCATAAGTCCACTATTCCCGATCCATCACTCATTTCACACCTACACACATCTAACTTTTTACAGTCTTTAGCAAAAGCCAGGTTTATGAACGATATAAAGACAGAAGTAACTTTGGCAATATCTCGTGGATACATCTTACATTACATACAATATGGAGAATACCTGCGTTACCAAGGGTGTTTTATGTCATCGTGAAAAAGTCACGCATCTCGAGTCACGCATCTCGAGTGAAAAACGTTTTGGGTTAAAGAAATCGAGTGAAAACCGCTTCGAGCTACATGCAGATTCCATCTCAGACCGCCGCGAACAGTGCGTAACTGTGAAATTGTTTCGCAAGATCTGGATATTTTAGAGTTGTTCGATTCGCTTGTACTTGCGCCACTGGACTGACTCAAAGACCATACACAGGTAGACCGAACAATAATGTGACGTTTAGTCACTTTGGCATTTTCAAAATAGTTGGTGATAAATCAAGACTTCTCTGTTGGGAAGAAAAATCCAGCCCACAAGGAACTCTCTTTCTCTCTCTCTGGCCCTCTCTGATGCGAGGTTTTATCATTAACTAGACGCCCCTGGGGCGTGAAGTCGGACTAGCTATTTTTGAAAATTAATAGACACGAGTGAAAAGATTATGATGTTATATTCTGTCTAATCATATGATTATATTATGAATGCAAATGAAACTTGAGAAAAACAGGAGGATATTACATAAAATATAAAAATTGGAATGATTAAAATATATATTTCTTAATTTTTCTCCAAAATAGCCGAACTCACGTCCTAATAAGAGCGTCTAGTTCAAAATATCCAAACTCTCTTGAGACTAAAATAAACTTGACATAAAAGGTCATGTAATTAATATAGCAATGAACGTTTTAAAAGAGTCCTTGATTTCACTGATAAAATCAAACGTGCTTATTCAACGTGGCTTGCTTTGACTGATAAAATCAACTACGCTCAGACAAATGTCTCGCTAAGTGATATCATGATGACCTCTCAGGCAAAGAAAATAAAAACTTTCTGGGTGATTGATTTGCGACCAGGCCTGCATATGAATTCGCCAAGGTTGTAAGCCAGTTAGCCCGTGCATTTTTGTTAAGCGGTCATATTTGAAAGTGTAAATAAAGAAAAGGGAAAACCCACAGCTCGCCTTTCACTCAAATAAACAGTACAAGTCGTGTAAATTTATTTACATAACTATAGAATTAAATCTTCAAGAATTGAATGCTCATGTGAAACATTTTCCACCTTAAATACACACGTGTTTTTCAGAAGGGAATTTAATRGAACTTTTTTCACGATGGAATTTTGTTTTGAGTCGTTTCGACATCAACAGTCGCTATCTGTTACGCTTTATCTCTATTGGAATACGTGGAGCTAAGCTGCTCTACTTCTTCCAGTGATGTTGTAGATACCTCAAAGCTTAGAGGAAACAAGAGCTAAGAAAAGGATTTGCAATATGGCTCCTCCTAAGATACTTTGGACTTGAACGTCGCTTCAACGACCTTCTGAAGTCTTCATGAAGTCGGTCATTGCTTCGCATGCAATGGAGAACCCGCATAGAACACAGACCAATTATTTTTATCAGGAAGGGGAGTCTCGTGGTATTAAAGAAAAAATTATTTATGATTTCATTTTTAAAATAAAGTTATATTTCTATAACGATAAATATTTGATTGACATTTAAAAGCTATTTTATAAAGATTTTCAATTTCTCTTTGCGTTTTAGCTTCGATTTTTCGGATAGAATAAAA